TTAGCTTTAAACCTACAGGTATGCTATATATATTAGCTTTAAACCTACAGGTATGTTATAGCTGTTAGCTTCAAACCTACAGATATGTTATAGCTGTTAGTTTTAAGTATCTCATCTTTTGATTACATTGAATATGCAACTCTATTTTCTGTTTGAAATTGTGATTAGGTTTTTCATAGTCTACTTTACAAAGGTGTGTAAATGGCAGGTGTTTCACACTTTCTTTGTGGTAAAGGTGTGTTAAATGACAGGTGTTTCACACTTACCTTGTGGTAAAGGTGTGTTAAATGACAGGTGTTTCACACTTCCTTTGTGGTAAAGATGTGTTAAATGACAAGTGTTTCACACTTACTTTGTGGTAAAGGTGTGTTAAATGACAGGTGTTTCACACTTACTTTGTGGTAAAGGTGTGTTAAATGACAGGTGTTTCACACTTACTTTGTGGTAAAGGTGTGTTAAATGACAGGTGTTTCACACTTACTTTGTGGTAAAGGTGTGTGAAATGACAGGTGTTTCACACTTACTTTGTGGTAATCTTTTTCACTTTTCTACTAGACTGTACTTCTACTTCAAAGAAAATTCAGTCAAACCGTATTATCCCACTGTGATAAAAAACCATGTTTTTTTTTTCTCGTCTATAAACAAATATGCAAACGAAATGATCATTATCGGTCAGTGGCTAATAAGATACGTTGTTTATTTTCTTTTCATAAAACAAAGAACAAAAACATGATGGCGTCTATATGTAGAACGATGATATTCAAAAGATAGCCAAATAATTCATATAATTTCAAACATTTGAATAATTGAACACTATTTACAATATTATATATATAATTTTGATTTTGATAGATAACAAGGGTGAAGTTTACAAAGTAATTTTGTTATCCAACTAGAAAGATTGACATATTTTCTGACTATTTAACAAAGTATTGTTATCAACACATTTATATTAATTGATTTAAATCAAAACAAATGTTACTTTAAGCCAAATGTGAAGCAGTAATAATAATACAAATAATAATAACTCAAAAATGTAAACTAATTAGCACTAGTCATTGGTCAAACACAAAAAATAAAGACATTTTGTGGCTGCAAAAGATTGTCAAAAGCAGAAAAATCTATATTATAAATAAACAGCTTAAAATCTGAATGTACACGCTCCACTGGCAAGACTATGTTGTTTATTATAGTGTTCTTCTAGTGACGTAGTTCCACGTGTGCACGTCATAAACCAATCTTTGTGATAGCAGTAGCCAAGTGCATCGGTTATTATCACCATGACAACACAGGATACGGTACAAGGCAAAGCTTTACGTTCAACAGGTTATAGTTCGGCCGTGATGACAACTGGAACAAACACTTAGAAGGCGCGGCGCCACCATGCGGTAAGTCACGGATTGTTGGAGAAACATTCAAAACTCTGGGACTATAATCTTCGCTCAAACGATGAATCAAATTAAAAAAAAACAACAACAACAAAAACACACACACACACAATCTTATAATTTACGTAATAGTGAAGATTTATTTTAATATATAATAGTATAGAGTGTGTGTGTGTTTTTTAATTTTTTCATCTCGATCCCGTTGAAACATTAATTATAGTTTCCGTGAGATGGCGCCAGTGTAGACAGTCCATTCGATAGTACGATCTATGACATTCTTCATATCGGGTTATATGAAGAGTTTACCTTTTGTTTTTTAACCTCTCAATCGCACCTTGTTTATGCGTTGAAGTCGAGTGAAGTTTCTGGAAAAAATTAAGAAAAACAAAACAAGTGTTAGGTAACAAAAGTTATGAACATATTGTAAGAAATACGTTTAACGAACAACCTGAGTAAACAGAACCCGGCCATTTCAAGAAACTTGAAAACATAAAACAGGTGTAAGTAAACACGATTGCCAAAACTGCTGTGGACTTATTGGTTTAGCACTAAATACAGTTTCTTGGGTAAATCTTGACATATTTTTATCTTAAAAACTATAATTTTTAACCCTAGTGACATATTTGTATACATTATGTATTGGTTTAACCCTGGTATATGTATGTCTATGGAACATATGAGTTCAACCCTAACACGTGTTTATCTTCGTAAAAGATTGATTAAGACAGAAACGCCAAAGCTTAATTAAGCCTTGAGATTTTGAATGCATAAAATGGATTTTTAAAAGCCAAAAACGGGCGTATCTTTGTCCCCAAAAAAGCTTAATTGAAGAGTGTTACAATTAAGCATTAAATTTCGAAGATAAAACCGTGTTAGGGTTAAATCAATGCCACGTGTCTACGTGTTACATAATATATTGGTTCAGTGCAAACACATTTGGGTATATGTAACTTATTAGGTTAACTCTATCTGTATGCCTTGATTAACACATTTTTGGGTTAAACGAACAAGTTATAAATTTACTTGCATAATTACACATTTATCTGTGTGACTTGGCTGGGCGTGGCCAAATTGTTAACGTGCTGAAATGTGAACACGAGGGTCCATGGTTTGTGTTTCGTTGCATAAAAATCGCTTTACGCACTTTAGAGCCGTGAATACATCATAATAGTAACGGTCAAGTCCGAATATTTTATTATAGTAGCTCAAATACTGGGGGTGGGTGCTGTTGACTAGCTG